ACACCCAAAAAACAAATAATCCAGTGAAGAAATGGGCAAAAGACATGAATGGACAATTCTCCAAGGAAGACATCCAGATGGCCAACCGACACATGAAAAACTGCTCCACATCACCCATCATCAGGGAAATGCAAATGAAAACCACAGTGAGATACCACCTCACACCTGTCAGAATGGCTAACATTAACAACTCAAGCAACAACAGATGTTGGTGAGGATGCAGAGAAAGAGGATCTCTTTTGCATTGGTGGGAATACAAGCTGGTGCAGCCCCTCTAGAAAACAGTATGGAGGTTCCTCAAAAGGCTAAAAATAGAACTACCCTACTTCCTAGCAATTACACTACTAGGCATTGATCCACAGGATACAGGTGTGCTGTTTCAAAGGGACACATGCACCCCCATGTTTATAGCAGCACTATCAACAATAGCCAAAGCATGGAAAGAGCCCAAATGTCCATTGATGGATGAATGAATAAAGAAGATGTGGTATATATATACAATGGAGTATTACTTGGCAATCAAAATGAATGAAATTTTGCCATTTGCAACTACGTGGATGGAACTAGAGGGTATTATGCTAAGTGAAATTAGTCAGTCAGAGAAAGACAAAAATCCTATGAATTTACTCATATGAGGACTTTAAGAGACAAAACAGATGAACATAAGGGAAGGGAAATAAAAATAATATAAAAACAAGGAGAGGGACAAAACAGAAGAGACTCATAAATATGGAGAACAAACTGAGGGTTACTGGAGGGTTTGCGGGAGGGAAGATGGGCTAAATGGGTAAGGGGCATTAAGGAAACTACTCATGAAATCATTGTTTCACTATGTGCTAACTAATTTGGATGTAAATTTTAAAAAATAAAAAATAAAAAAAAATTTTAAAAACCACAAATAAGCAGCACAATAAGTCAGAGACAAAACCACATAAATCAATGCTTACAGTATCTGCAAAGAGAAAGGGACTGGTCTACAGTCTTGTGTAAGACAGAAAGGACCCAAAAAATAAAGACTGAAGTGTCCCTGGCACATAGATTAACATTCAATAAACGTTCATAGTAGCGAGAGAAACCTCATGGGTTTGAAAACTTGGGATTCTCTCTTCCTCTCTTTGCCCCTCCTCAACCCATTCTCATTCTCTCTCTCTCTCTCTCTCTCTCTCTCTCTCTCTCTGTCTCTCTCTGTGTCTCTCAAAAATAAAGAAATAGTGTGCCTGGGTGGCTCAGTAGGTTAAGCGTCTGACACTTGTTTTCTGACTCAGGTTTTCAGCTCACAGTTTGTGAGACTGAGCCTCTCATTGGGGTCTGTGCTGACAGCATGGAGCCAACTTGGGATTCTCTCTCTCCATGCCTGTCCCGCTTGTGCTTGCTCTCTCTCCTCTCTCTCTCAAAATAAACATTCAAAAAAATGAAAAAGTTAAACAAAAATAAATAAACTTGCCAAAATACTAGAAACAACTCCTTTGTCCATAAACTGGTGAAAAAATAAATGTGGTATATCCATACAAGGAATGGTAATCTGCAATAAACATAAAGAAACTACTGATTAATGCAACAACATAAATGAATCTCAAAAATGATACTGAGCAAAAGAAATCAGACACAATAGAACATACACTGTATGACTACATTATATCAATATCTTACAGAGGCAAAACTAGCTATGATGACAAAGACAACTAGTAGCTGACCAATGATGAAGTAAAGGGTGTGTGGGTGGGACTGTAGGGAACAGACTGCAAAGAGGTAGGAGGCAACTCTTCTGAGGTGATGGAAATGTTTTATATATTTGACTGGGGTGGCAATTACACAAGAGAAACATTTGTCAAAACTTATTAAGCTGAATACTTAAAATTTGTGCATTTTATTATATCTAAATTGTATTTCAATAGAATAGACCTTTAAAAAATGAACAGCCAAAAAGCACCAAATATTGAGGAAGATTCCAACAAGGGAAGGCACCAAAACAAATAGGGGTGAGAGGAATGAATAGAAATAATGGAGAAAGAAGAAAACAATTACTAAAAACCTCCAAATAATCTTAGAGAAGGATAAAAAGAAAATTATATCCAAATAAGTACCAAAAGTCTATGGCCATACCACCCTGAACGCACCTGATCTTGTCTGATCTCAGAAGCTAAACAGGGTCGGGCCTGGTTAGTAGCTGGATGGGTACCAAAAAATGTAATAATGAGAAAGTAACAATAATCTCTTGAGCCCTTTCCCAGCCAACTATAAGAGAATGTTCTACATCAAAATGAGAGGATAAACAAAAGAAAGAAAAGGGACCTAGGAAACACGGACTCCAGCATGACAGAAGTAAAGGGAATCCCTGGGCTGATTATGACACCCCAGGATGACAGCTATACAGGAGGCCTAGAGGATAAGACCAGATCAAAAATGAAGAAGAAGGGCTCAAGAAAAAAAAAAGAAAAACAAGGAGGACAGGACAATAAACCAAAGACTCTAACCACAGTGGGAATAGCTTTAAGAAGCATTTCACATTCAAAAAATAAATCTCAAGGACTAATTTTACTTTAGGTTTTTCTTAACAACCTAGAAAAAAAGAGGAGAAGCATTTCAAAGTACAGTTGAACCTTGAACAATACAGGTTTGAACTGCATGGGTCCACTTACACATGGACTTTTTTCAATAAATATATTGAAAAAATTTTTAGAGGTTTGTAATTTGAAAAAACTCACAGATGAGCTGAAGAGCCCAGAGATATTGAAAAAATTGAAAAGGTATGTCATGAATGCATGAAATATATGTAGATACTAGTCTATGTTATCATTTACTACCATAAAATATACAAAATCTATTAAAAAAAGTTAAAATTTATCAAAACTTACACACACAGTCTGTACATGGTGCCATTCCAACTGACAAATGTAAACAAATGTAAAGATGCAGTATTAAATCATAACTGCATAAAACTAACTGTAGTAATACTGTACTACTGTAATAATTTCGTAACCACCTCCTGTTGCTATTGCAGTGAGCTCAAGTGTTAAGACTGTCTGCTTCAAACTCTATGTGATGCTAACCATTTCCACACGAACAGTTCATCTCTCCAGTAAACTGTGTATCACAGTAAAAAGTGATCTCTCATGGTTCTCATGTATTTTTCATCACATTTAGTGCAAAACCATAAGCTTTGAATGACACCAAGACCCACACAAAGTGCCACTAGTGATGCTGTAAGTGCACCCAGACTTTTCAGAGAAAAGTCTGAAAAAGCTGAATTGCTTGATATGTACCACAGATTGAGGTCTGTAGCTGCGGTTGCCCATGATTTCAAGATAAATGAATCCAGTGTAAGGACTGTTGTAAAAAAAGAAAAGGAAAATTCATGAAGCCATCACCACATCTGTGCCAGCAGGAGTGAAAACCTTGAACTTTTTGTGAAATACTTTTTGATCTTGTATTGAAAATGCAGCTTTTATGTGGGTGCAGGTTGCTAACAAGAAAGGCATACCTGTAGACTCAAGATTCTTCAATTCAAGAAAAACTGAAGTCCTTATATGACAACTTACAGCAAAAGGAAGGTGAAGGTTCTAAAGCAAGCTGAAGAATTTAATGCCGGCAAAGGATGGTTTGAGAATTTTAGAAAGACGTTTGGCTTAAAAAATGTAAAGATAACAGGAGAAGCAGCTTCTGCTGAGCAAGAGGCAGCAGATGAATTCTCAAATGCCGTTTAGAAAATCACTGAGAAGGATATCTGCCTGAACAAGTTTTTAATGCAGACAAAAGTGCCCTATCCTGTGAAGAAAATGTCACAAAGAACATTTATTAGTAAGGAAGAGACACAAGCACTAGGATTTAAGGTGGGAAGAGATAGGCTAATTGTACTGTTTTGTGCAAATGCAGTAAGGTTCATGATCAGCAACTATAAAGTTGCTAACACCTGAGCCTTGAAAGGAAAAAGATGAACATCAGCTGCCATCATTCGGTTGTAGAGCAAGAAGTCTCTGGACAACAAGAATCCTTTTTCTAAACTGGTTCTACCATTGCTTTGTCCCTGAAGTCAGGAAGTACCTTGCCAGTAAAATCTACTTTTTAAAATTCTTGGGGACACCTGGGTGGCTCAACCAGTTAAGCATTCAACTTCAGCTCAGGTCACGATCTTATGGTTCGTGAATTCGAGCCCCACATCTGGCTCCACGATGACAGCTTAGAGCCTGAAGCCTGTTTCGGATTCTGTGTCCCGCCCCCGACCTCAAAATTAAACATTAAAAACAATTTTTAATAAAATAAAATTCTTTTGATTCTCATCTTTATTAAACTTTGAACAATGGACCCTGTGGTCAGGGCTGCTATTGCTGCTGCTCCTGGCAACAGGACAATACTAGTGCCACTCATACCACCTGTGCCAAATGCATTCTGCACAGTTTTTCAGCCTCTGTGTCAGCATGCCTTGAGTCAGAACGTGGCATGTGGTCACCAGAGTGGTGGAGCCTCACGCCATGTCCAACTTCAAAAATGTCTGGGAAACTGGGGTTTCCCCTCTTATGGACGAAGGTGGTCTCTACCCCTATTAAGAGTCTTTTAAAAAAAAAGAAAAAGAAAAGACTCTTCAAGTGTGGAATCCCTTACACAGGAAAAGGGGTACAAATTCTGGGGGTGGACACTGGAATTGAGGAATGGAAAAACAATGACAAATTTCAATTTTTGAAGCCGTGATCTGAGACTAGAACTTGGTAGTCTCAGGTTTGCTTAGAGGAATGAGTGACTAATCACATTTTTCAAATAAAAAAAATTATTCTGATATTGAACAATGCCCTTGGGCACTCAAAACCCCATAACTTTACCATCAAAGGCGTCAAACAGTCTACTTGCCCCCAAACACAGTATCTCTAATTCAGCCTCTAGATCCAGGGGGTCAGGTCATGAAGACCTTTAAGGCTCATTACACACAGTACTCTGTGAAAAGTACTGTCAATGCTATGGAAGAGATCCCCGATAAGAGAGGACATCATGAGGGTCTGGAAAGATTACACCACTGAAGATGTCATCATTGTTACACAAAAAGTAGTGAAAGCTATCAAAGCCTGAAACAATAAATTCCTGCTGGAGAAAACTGTGTCTAAATGTTATGCATGACTTCACAAGATTTACAACAGAGCCAATCAAGGAAAACATGAAAGAGTCTGTACATATGGCAAAAAAGGTGGGAGATAGAGTTTCAAGATAGGGATCTTAAAGAATTTCAAGAGCTAAGAGACACCACACCAGAAGGCAGAATTTGATGGAGACACATTGATGGAGGTAAGTGTTTCCAAACCAGTGCCAGATGATGAGAAAGAAGAGGTAAAAGAAGCAGTGCCAGAAAACAAATTGACATTAGACAATTCAGCAGAAGGATTTCAATTAGTCAAGACTGCTTTGACTTCTTTTTTGACCAGGACCCTTCTATGATACCATACCATGCTGATGTCTCCTGTATGACATTTTTAGAAAAATGAAAAGGCAAAAAAGTCAGATGGAAATTATAATGTATTTCCATAAAGTTACATTGAGTGTGCCTGCCTCTCCTGCCTCCCCTTTCACTTCTTTCACCTCTTCTGCCTCTGCCACCCAAGACAGCAAGACAAGCCCTCCTCTTCCTCCTCCTCAGCCTACTCAACATGAAGAAAATGAGGATGAAGATCTTTATGACGATCCACTTCCACTTAATGAACACTAAACAATTATATGTCATAGTTAATAAACTTATCTTGGGGCACCCGGGTGGCTCCGTCGGTTAAGTGTGCTTGTGAGTTCAAGCCCTGTGTCAGGCTCTGCAGTGAACAGTGCAGAGCCTGCTTGGAATTCTCTCTCTCTCCCTCTCTCGCTCTCTGCCCCTCCCTGCTCGTGCTCGCCCGCTCTCTCTCTCAAAATAAACAAACTTAAAAAAAATTAAACTTATCTCTTGTATATGTGTCTTCATGTGAAAATCAGTAACTGTACAGCAAGTACTGTAGATGTTTCTGTGTCATCATAATCATCGAACTATTCACCATGTAGAACATCGTGTGCAAAAAACTCATGTGGAAGTGGATAGCCTATCTTTATGATGACATTTAATATAAAATCAATAATGTATTAATAAAGTTTTCTTACTGTTTTATAACTTTGCTTTCAAAAAACTATATTACATACAGTATGTCTCTCTCATAATTGGAGAAACTTCATTATCAGACTATCACAGGGTTGTTGTTTTTTTTTAATGTGACAATGCTTCCAATACTGTATTATGAATAGGACTACAATATTGTATGCCACAAAAATTTCATAATGATTCATTCATTAGAATGAATTCTTTAGGAGTACCTGAGTGGCTCAGTCAGTTAAGCATCTGACTTCAGCTCAGGTCATGATCTCACAGTTTGCGAGTTCAAGTCCACATCACAGAGCCTATTTTGGATCTTCTGTCTCCCTCTCTCTCTGCTCCTCTCCTGCTCATGGCTCTCTCTCTCAAAAATAAATAAATATTTTTTAAAAACTGAAGAGAAAAAAAAAGGAATTCATTAGGGTAGGCTACTGTGAAGCAATCATATCAGTAACACCAGACTACCACAAAGCAATCATACTTGATGCTTCTTCACTATAAATGAATGAATCATTAAACCTGTAAATATGAATGTCTTTTTCATATTATCATTTTTGATGCCTAAATGTTAGGAATACATATAACATCTACAATGTTTTATATCAAAAAAGAGAATATTGTTGTAGATACAGACAATTCATCTTGTAAACATATGACACAAACAATACCAATAAATACAATATAGTGCTATAAATGTACTTCCTCTTCCTTGTGATTTTCTTCTTTTTTTTTAATGGTTAAGGCCTTTTTTTTTTTTTCATCTTTATTTTTGAGACAGAGAGAGAGAGCAGGGAAGGGGCAGAGAAAGAGAGGGAGACACAGAATCTGAAGCAGGCTCCAGACTGTCAGCACAGAGCCCAACATGGGGCCCCAACTCATGAGCAGTGAGATCCTGACCCGAGCCAAAGCGCTTAACCGACTGAACCACCCAGGTGCCCCTCCCTGTGATTTTCTTAATAATATTTCATTTTTGCTAGCTTACTTTATTATAAGAATTCAGTACATTATATATATAACATACAAAATATGTGTTCACTGTGTAATCAGTAAAGCTTCCAGTCAACAGTAGTTAAGATTTGGGGGAATCAGGGACAAACACCTGGCTGGCTCAGTCAGTGGAGCATGCAACGCCTCATCGCAGGGTCACGAGCTCAAGCCTCACACTGGCTAAAGATACCACTTTAAAAAAAATTGGGGGGGGGGCGCCTGGGTGGCGCAGTCGGTTGAGCGTCCGACTTCAGCCAGGTCACGATCTCGCGGTCCGTGAGTTCAAGCCCTGCGTCAGGCTCTGGGCTGATGGCTCGGAGCCTGGAGCCTGCTTCCGATTCTGTGTCTCCCTCTCTCTCTGCCCCTCCCCCGTTCATGCTGTCTCTCTCTGTCTTAAAAATAAATAAACGTTGAAAAAAAAATTAAAAAAAAAAAAATTGGGGGGTGGGGAGTAGGGATCAAAGTTATATGTGAATTTTCGACTGCACACGGGGTCAGTGCCCCTAACCACCAAGCTGGTCAAGGGTCAAATGTATATCTGTAACATTCGGCATGAAAGTTAAGAAACCAACCAAAATCTTTTTGAAAGCTATAGGGACAGAACTGTAATCCCTCCTCAAACAGGAAGTGTAAGAGAAGACAAGAGAACACCAAAGGCAAAGAATAAGGGAGAAATTTTCTCATATCAAAACAGATTTTCAAGGAAATTTAACACAAATCTCATATAACAAAAAGCCTTGGTGATTTCAAGACATCTCAGTTTTTAAAATACTCAATTGGTAAGAATTAGCAACTCACAATCAAATATCAAGATCTGGTAATAAAAAGAAAGTACTAGATAATCACTTTCTGATTGTAGCACAAAAGAAGTAAAAGCAATTACACAGAAAGGGCAGATACTGGAACAGAGATAAAACAAAGATTATGGTATTAACCACTGAAACAATCCTTCCAGTAAAAGCATTCTGAAATGCAAATCATAAAAATTATAATATTAAAAGCTACTGGGGGCGCCTGGGTGGCTTAGTCGGTTAAGGGTCCGACTTTGGCTCAGGTCATGATCTCACAATTCGTGAGTTCGAGCCCCGCATTAGGTTCTGTGCTGACAGCTCAGGGCTTGCTTCGGATTCTTTGTCTCCCTTGTTCTCTGCCTGTCCCCCACTCACACTCTCTCTCTCAAAAATAAATAAACATTAAAAAAAAAATTTTTTTTAA